GAATACGTGAGTGTTTCATGGAATTTGATCGTTATCGATCTCGAATTATCGTGCGTCAACCGGAATTGAAGCGCTTTTATCCATTGCACTGACTCCCGGTGTACTCGTTGCCCAGCGTACACCTCCTCCCCATCCATTTCACCCGCTTCATCCGCTCTTCTTGCTAACGTAACCCTTCGCTGTTATGTCCTCTTGTCCGTATTTTCATTCGCTAAAAGGCCACCACCGAGTACCATTGTACCGTTTCCGGTGGCCAATGTTCACCGAACGCATTCAATACTTTTCGCCGCGTCCATTTTACCAAAATAAAATGATTGTTCAACGTTTCTTCTTTTTCGTTGCGTCGGACTGTTCTATCGTGAAATATTGGACTATCATAGCTGGGATTATTTCGTTATGAAACAATTAGTTGAATCTCTCGGGAATTTATTGTGGGTGGGGAACAATTAGAGGGTTTAATTCATTGGCAATTTTTTTTTACGTTTGAAAAGTTAGTTTTACGCGTTCTGCCGTCCGCCGAAAAAATTACAGAATTTTCCTTGAAAAAAAAAACAATTTCATGGAAAAATAATAATTTGACGCCTTAAATGTCAAATTTGATGCTTGAAAATGGTTGAATCTATAGTATGGCCTGTACCACACTACGAAAGCCACTTGGATATCATCAACGCAACCCTGAAGTGCTAATAATCCTACAAAAATGGAGAGCTTCCTAAAAAAAAATTCGGAAACTACGAATTCTTTCTCGCTTTATCTCCTAATTAATACCGCGAGGAAGTGGTACTACAGTGGATGGGTTTACAGAGCCAAGAAAAAGGGGAAGGAGGGCGAAGTGTTGGTGTACAGGTTAGGGGTCTGGAACGAGATTTGTAGAACTCTCGGGGCAAACTTGCTCCCGTAGAAACTCCTAAAGGCTCCCCTCCCCCATGTTGGACGAAATTTTACTTGGATTGCAAACGAATATTCCCTGCGAAGCGTGTTCCGATAAGTCTCGAAACTCCGTACACACCCGAGAGGTATCTCACTCCTTTCCTCTCTGTCTCCCTCTCGCTCTCTCTCTCTCTCTCTCTCTCTCTGTCTCTCCCTCTCTCTCAAGCCTCAAACACTGGCCGCCCCTTTCGAAACCCCAGGACATAGCCACTGATACTTTTATTTTGCCCAACGTAATTTATTGAGCGCCCCCTTCGCTTTGCTACTCGTATTCATTCCAACCGATACATACGCTCAACCTCTGGCATGTCTACCTGTAGCCTCACACCGAGATTCACTGCCGTTGGAATGATGCATTCGGGGAAGAGAAGTCTTTGATGGTAATACGTTAATTAGTTTCAGAGGGAAAACGAAAGAAAACATATCGATATCTCCGTTGATTGAGCGCGCAATTATCTTTGAAATGAGTGATTTGAGCGGCGAATATCAGAGAACTTCTCGTTTTTTCAGATTGTTACGTAAAGAATGGGAAAAATTGCACTGAGAGAAACAATTAGTTCTGCCGAAAGATTATATATTCGTTTAGACACATTCAATTATTCATTTGAAACAACGAATGTTTACAATAATTAATGTTTATAATAATTCCGTGCAAAATGTAATTTTAATGACGCTGAGCATTCATGATTTTTTAATATTTTTCTCACGCAATTTAATTGGCAAATTTAATGATTGAATATCCTTATATCATACAAATATTTTGACTATTGACCAATTTTCAATGAATATCTCGGAATCTAAGGGAGATAGTAAAATTTTTGTAATAATCTTTTTTGTAGAGCCAATTGAGTGCTACAACAAATGTAATTACGAAAATTTGGCTACCTCCCTTAGATTCGGAAATATACCTGAAAAACTCAACTGGGAGATGAGTCGACTTAGACCGTTTTACCACTTCGCTACTGATATGATTTACTAAAATTGGATAATGTCGATAAAATCATCGCAGCAAATGTCGCACTAATTGTGACCCGGTAAAATAATAATTCAAGTAATGGTGAATGAAATTACCGAACAATGATGATAAAAACCATTAAAAAAATTACCCCGAACTACTCCCAACATTTTCCCTTTTGTGGGAAGATTCCGGGAACAGTCTCCTCACTTCCTGGCGGCTGTCTTCCTGTTTTCCCGAAGTGAGGTTACGAGAGAATAGAAATGACCGGGCGGAGGTAAGGAGCCCAGCCACAAGAGTAAGAGATCGAGCGAGGATGCAGGGGGAGAGGGGAAAGGAAGGAGGGTCTCAAAAAGGAAGTTTCAAGGGAGACCAGGGAAAAAGATTCATGTGTGTTGGGCCGCTGCTTGTGTATACGTGCGACCCAAGTGAGGGGAAAGTCACCCGCGAAGCAGGGGCTTCTTCCAACGGGAAGCAATTTCTTCCCTGGTGCAGCCTTATCGTGCAGACGTCAACGTTTGTATTATACTCCTATTGCAGCGTATCAGCGGAACTGCATCCACAGAGGGGAGGGCGAGGGGTTATTTAGGCGATGCCTCTTTTTCACGTGATCCTTCGGGTATGGAGATTTTTGCTTCCAAATGGAAGCGTTTACGGGAAAAAAATATCCCACACGGAGAGAAATTTTTGATAAAAATTGTCCTAGCATTCTATAAAAGTGTATCATGTGTTCGTTTCCTCATTTCTAATTTTTCCTTTTATCAGGATAAAATTTCCCCAACGTAGAATAAAATTTGATCACCATATATTAATTTTTACTAAATTTTCCGTGCTCAATTCCGGAAATTTTTATCGTGGTGCAATGAAGATGAGTAAATTTTAATTATTGTAATGTGCAGCTTCTCACAATATTAATAAATTAATGCTTGATGCTGATAATGCCAGTATTAGCAGTGAAATCAGGCCATTCTCACGTGAAATCCGCGTCATGTGGATGAAAAGTGACGAAAAAATGAGAATTCCCTTTTTGAATTATTAGCTCCACACTACGACTATTTTTTGATGCCCTAGCATTGCAATCCCAGGGACGCTTTAACTCTCAGGGCCGTTGCGCTGTGACTGAGACATGGTTCCCCAGGGGTGTTGCCGAGTCCCTGAGATTTACGAACTCCGTTCGCGTGTATCACGCGCACAGCTATTCCCCCGAGTATCGCCCAGAGGTGCTCGACTTAGCGACTGAATATCTCTCTGAATCCCGCCCCCTTCTCTTTTTACAAACTTTCTCTCCATCTTCATTTTTGATTCTAGCAATTTAACCTAGCGGCGAGCGTAAACAAACTTCATTGTCGAACAGCAGACTGATAATTATTGCTGTGAGAGAGTGCAATTATTCAATTTTCTCGGGAAGGACAGCCGCATCGATTTTCACTTGTTATTGTATCTCTTGAAATTGTTTTAACCCCGTTTATTTTCATTCCTCCGCAGTATATCATCGACCCTTCGAGTTTCCCCATGTTTTTAGTATCAGATGTTGCCCAGTATTTACAATTTTCACCGATATGTATCAGGGCATTTTTATTTTCCTCCCTCGCACCGAAACAATAAACCAACTGATGACCACGTACCCAAGGCCTTTGTTTTCACTGTCTCCCAGTGGAGTTGCACCGGGCGGAATGTTAATAATACCCCGTGTCGCATATGAAAATGCTCAGAGATGACCGTAAAAGTGAATTTAATGGAAAATCATGGCTCAAGTGAAAAAAAAATTACACAAGAATGCGGCTTTTGAGAATGTGACAGTGAAATTAGAGGGATTTTTCTTGTTCTTCGTGATGGATCGTTTTATTCTTTCAGGGAACTGGTTTTTTTCACCTCCAGTTTGGGAGAACATCAATCTCATGCGCCTGAGCTTTGTATCCTCGCCGCTATCAATTTTCGCCTCGTTTCAATTCGATCCATCTCTCTTATCTTGGACGAAGAATCGTTCGATTTTTTCTTCGGTGTTTGAAATATAAATTTGTGGGGTTATTGGCGGGGGTTGTGCAGGTCCAAAGACTGATATTGGGAACGATAAACGTGTTGATCGTCCGATGTAAATCACATCATTTGACCCATACAATTTGACCTACAATGTTTATATCATAGTATTTCACCCAAGCGATTCGAAAAATAAAATTTAATCGGCAATAATTATCCCATGATATTTGACCCACACGGTTCCACTCAAACGTTGTGACCCATAAGATTTGCCCTACAATCTTCATCTCATAGTACTCAGCGCAAACTATTCACTTCAATTCGACAAATAATATTTGATCCCGAATAATTATTCCATGATATTTTACCCATGAACTATACTATTTGACCCACAATCTGCATTTCTTGATATTTGAACTATTCGATTTCACCCAAATGTTTTGACCCACGAGAGTTTAACTCAAAAAAATAAATTCGCGTCCCAAGAAAACAATTCTTTGGCAAACGTAATTTTTTTTTCCGTGTGTATCTCCCCCCCCCCCCAAGTATTTCAAATCCCTGAAATTCGATAAACGATCGTTTATCCCTCGAAAAAACATCTTTTATGGAACCATTATCTTTAAGTAGCAATTAGAGATAAGATATACATGATTTAAGCCCATGGCTATCTTAAGTACATCTCCCCATACTTTCCACTCTGCTCTTTATTCATGTTTCTCTCCCCTTTCGTTTCGGGATAATCCACACATAACGTGACCGTTCAACTTCCCCAACTGCGCGACGATGTGTTTGATGTAATTGACTTGGGTATGAACGAGAGATAGAGACACTGTGAGGTCCTTCCCCCCTCTCACATGTCCAAAAAGCCTCGACATTCGAGGCACAACCTCGGAAATAAAACACGCGATTTTCTGTACAGGCACCATTAAAGGGGCGGCCTCTACATCCTCTAGTTCGTATAGGTTGCTCATAATACTGTCCACAGCATCGCTATGCTTTGGGGTATTCAATGCTATCCGTGAGCAAAAATTTCAAACATTTTGTAACTAAAAGAACAGATTTTTTTTGCTCGACGGAGTTGAAATTTTTTGTTGATTGATTGTTTTTTTGGCATTTTTTGGTTGTTTTGGAGACTTACCCTCGACTACCGGATGACGTGGCTTGTACGACATATCTGGAAAGAGACGAATATGGGATTAGATAATCAGTCAACGAATTACCGGGGTGGTTATTAATGAAAAGCATTTTTTTAGAGAAGTGGAATTGATGAGAGGGAAATGGTTTTTAAGGTATATCTCTAGAAAACAGGATTTTCCTACGATTGTCCCCATGTTTTTCGTCGATAATGTTTATAATATTCCCCAGGTATTGAAAAAAAATTCTAACTAGCTGTTTTACACAGTTTTGGAGAGAACATCTTACGATGTTCTTAAAAACCAATCCGTGATAAATTGATAAGCTCAGAATACAGTGAATTTTTTGTAAAATTTTATAGTTAAAAAAACGGAAAATTTGTGAAATCATTTCTTATTTGATTGGAACAATTAATTAACAAATAATTTTCTATTCGATTCAAAGAGCTATTGTTGCCTTCATCAACAGCATATGAAGGTACAAAAATTCAACAACTTATGAGAATGCATCAAACTACGTCATTTGCACTTCATTTCATCTTCATAATTTCATTCATCTGCAGGATTAATTTTTTTTCTCACTAAATGATGATAAAAATGTTCTATCTCCGACGATTATACCAATTAATAGCTATTCTCACTGTAGAAGTGAGTGAAGTTGATATTTAAAGTATTATTTCCTTCGCTTTCATACCAGATTTCGCTTCCGCTGAGAAATTACTTTAAAGATAATTATATTTGGCTGCTGCGAAAATCATTCACCCGAGGGATTTGCCTGATAGGATATCCAGGTAGTGGAAAATGCACGGTGTTGTACCAGGGGTCTGGGGAAAATCGAATCCCTCTGACGTTGAGGTACAAACACCAGAGGCTCTTAAAGTAATGCACCAAGGTGATACCTGTCACACGTAAGACCATCAAAAAGTTGGAGGCTAATGAACTCGCTGGCTGAAACAGGGGCATTTTTTATGTTGACTCTAGGGAGATTTGACAACAAATATTTTTTAAGGTTGAAAGACAAGAATATTAAATTTTGCATGACATTCTCACCTAGACATTTATCATAATCTTAGAAAAAATCAATTCTGGAATCTAATGATTTTGTTCTCAGTTAATTACCTTGGGAGCGACTGATTTGAGTGGAGACGTCTTCAGAGAAGTGAAATGCACATTATTTTATAATTTCGTTTGAGAAAATTTCATAAAATTATCCTCGTGGCGCATAAAATTACTAAAAACTGTCTGAATTCTTTTCTGCAACTCCTAATCGAGGAAATAATTAGCAATTAGTAAGCGGGAAAAATTCAATTTTCATTAAGTGACGCAAGAAGTGCTGTGTAATTTCGTGATTATCTGGGGAACGAGTGATTTTAAAAGGCAATATCACAAAATTTTTTTTCTCGGAAAAAATGATTCACAATAAATCTTTAATACCACTGTTCGCTAGAACCTCTCATGAACGAGAAAATTAGCAATTACTGAATGAGAAAACTGCATTGTTCACAGAATAAGATGACTGTTTTGTCATTTTGTAATTACGTCCAGCCAACTGCACCCATTTTTACAGATGAGGAGCTTCTCCAAGAAAAATATTGCCTAAAAAAATTTTCTGGAGCGCTTCATCTCCCTCTGGAGTCCAGAATGCTCTTCAAACCCCGAAAAAAAATCTCTCAAAAATATTTACAACCGCAAGCACACCCGAAAAACCCCTCATTACCATAACTCCCCACATACCGAGAGATTAATAGGGACCTCCGAGGGGTAGAGTCAAGTCAAAGTGCATAAACATCAGTGTCTGGTGCGGAATGGTTTCACCAATCTATACAGTGCCGTACTTTATGTTCTCGAAGGCAGCAGTTGAGAGTGAGGAGCACGGGTATGAGGGTTAAGGTAGTTGGGTACTGGATGCCGTTTAAACCACTCGGCGCTAGCCCAAAGCAACGATATGTATGCAAGCTCTGGCCCCTCACTGTTGGGCCAACTCGTACATGCCGATATCTCGCCGATAGCCTTTTGCATCGGTGTACACGCCTCGCGTCGCTTGACACACATGGCTGACACGTGTCGCCACAAGTCACCACCTTCCCCCCAGTGCCTCTCCGCTCCCCCTGCCGCCAACCCTCAAATCTGACACCACACGGTGTACAGTGGATGCTCAAGGAGCGACGGGACACGGATTGCAAGGGCCTTTGACACGAGCCAGTTTAAAGTTGGATTAAGTTGGGGAAGGGTTTAATCAACCCTCGATGCACCCGGTAGAAATCCAATCTCGCGATCGACTTGCTGCGGGTTTGTCGTGCGAGATTACACATTACGGCGACATTAACTCTGAGGGGCGCAGCGGGCTCGCCGCTCACTGCTGCCGCGCTACAGAGGGTCTTAGACCTTTCAATTTAACATAAATTCAAGCACATATCAAATTATTTTCGTCAGGGTATTTAATTAAATTAATCTCACTCATAAGCTTCAAAAGAAAATTAATAATCTTAAACGAGAAAATTACTGGAATTGTACATCATCAAACGCACCCGGAGAGAAATTTTTGATAAAAATTATCCTCCCCTTCTATAAAAGTGTATCATCGTTTCCTCATTTCTATCCCGAAATTTAGTAAAAATTAATGTATGATGATCAAATTTGATTAAATACAATGGAGTAAACACTACGAGTCTAATCAATCCATTAAAGTATCGATTATTCACACCCAACACCCGTCAAATCGAAAGTGTCTCTGAAACAACCGATTTCACGTAAAAATTATTAATGCCTTCGAATCGCCAATTATCGCACGACAAGCGATAGCTCTGCAGCACCCTGACAGCAAACTAATTATTCAGCTGAATCGATGAAGAAAAAAACAAATTGAGAAAAAAAAAGGAGGAACGAACGGAGTAAAGTAGTATAACGACAGGCAGCTTGGAAGCCAATTGATTTTCCCTCGATATATTTTTTCCACGGGGCAAAAGTTTTTTCAAGCGGTGGGATAAACTCCACGAAAAATGAGGAAACTTTTCGGGGGAATGGGATTTGCAAAAACTCTGCATCATTTCGGTGGCAACTGCTTGATCGTACGACTTAAGGGATTTACTTTCTTCATTAATGCGCGCTGGGAAGCTGATTAAATTGATGAAATCATCGCTGCGATTGCTCACCAATGACGAGGGATATACATTTATAGAGCAATAGAGGGGGATTCGACGATTTAACGATTGACGAAGTGCTGGGAAATGCATTTAGGGATATTCAAGTATTTTTTACAGCTTGGTACAGACCAAACTATAGTCGAACAGTAGAGCTTTCATTTGAGAAATTTTTACACTGATTTTATTATTTAAAATTTGCAGGTCTGAATTTGAATCTCGACATTAAACCGTTAGAAAACGTTTTAAAAATTTGAAAAAAAATTGGGAAGTTCATTTTTGGAGGAAGATTAATAAAATGATTGAGAAATTGTAATTTTGAAAAATTACGAGGATTTCTCTCTGTATTATAAAAATTTTAATCGATTCTGATGACGAAAATTTGGTACTCGAAATTAAGACTCCAGAATTCTGACCCTTGAACTAAGGTCACCCTTAAACTAAGGGCCACGAGGGCGAAGTTAAAGGTCAAGAGGATTATAATGAGGGTGACGAGGGTCGCAAGGGTCAGATGAAGGGTCACGGGGGTTGGCTCCGCTCGCCAATCCCTCTTGTCTTTAAAAATATATAAAATTTAATACCCCTCACAATTGAATATCAATCTCCCTCTCCCCAAATGGATAATTAAATTTCCTATCCCCAAATCCCCTAGCGTGCTCCGTATTAAGGCGGTCACACCCCTCCCCACAGATCCCCCGTGCGTGTTCAGTTTTCCAAAAGATATCGTCTATTTTCATTCCACTCCACCGCAGCGGAAATTACAGAAGACTACCGCCGATGCAGGGCGCCAACTTAACTGACACAGAGTGCGCACGTGGCGCCCTCAGCATAGAAAGCGAGACGCAGGAAGGGATTAATGTCTGCCTTTACTTATTCGAAAGAACTAGAAACCCGGCATTAAGACTCCACCCTGAAGCGACCGCTCTGATTTCCACCAGCTCGCTCCTTCCTTCCTCGACTCTACTATCCCATTTCCACTCGATAATCTCTCATCCCTCATTCCGGGAGAAGCTAACTTCATGCACCCTGGATTGAAGAGTGGGAATGCCGTGAGGTTGGCAGTCTTTACGTTGATTAGGGATTTTGCTTGGCGCGTCTGCAGTGGATTGGCACGAGTCACGTCAACGGATGAACGGATTTTCGTTCATTTGACACGGCGAAAGGATTTAACCGTCTGACGCCCTCAAGGGGTGAACTCTATCACAATGAATTCTCCATTTGCACGGCGATTTTTGCGACTATCTGCATGAATCATTAATTAAATTGAATGAATTCCGAGTTGAGAGGGTTTTTGGTTGTGATAAGGGACGTGACGGGGTGAAAGTCCTCGTGATGAAATTGGTTTCATTTGGAAGCTGGAGGAAAATTCCCGATGAAATATGATATAGGGGTTATTCCTGCTCCAATAACTTGTGAGATTATTTCATGAATAAAAGGAGAAAGGAAATTTCTCCTGACGAAATCAATTTGAATTCTTGGAGAATCGAAGCCATGGGAACGAGGACGTCTAGACCGTTGCAACATTTCTCAACTTGTGAAGAAGAAAAAACATCCACTAAACGTTACACAGTTTATTGAGAGCGCCAAGTGTCGAGTGTTTACTCTCACGTGCGCATCCATGCGCACCGGCGCATTTTATTATTGCAGAAACGACTCCATCTTCCTTTATTTTTTCCCCTCGAGTTTTCCCCGAGGGACAATAATATCGACGCCTAGGTGCCCGGTAGAAACGCGCAAACTACCGGCCATTATTTCCCTGGGAATAGGTTGGTCAGAGCCAGGACTTTCGCCTCACACTCGCAAGTGCTCACACTCATTGTAACAGCGAAATTCTTACTGTATCGATTACGGAGGTGGGTAAAACTCAGCATTATATCGTTGCATGGGTCAACAATACCAAC